CAAACGAGGCCTCAACCCCGCTGTAAAAAAGGATGGCAGTGCAGACATGAGATTAAAAAAAAACCGTCAATCCCTGGGCAGAGATGACGAGGGGCGACCACTGACAAAGGCAGGTACGCCAGATAGAAGATTCAAAGTAACGAGAGATAAAGAAGCCATGGTGCAATCTTCTTTAAAGAGTGACAGAACACCAAGTACTGGCCCTGTCAAGAAAGACGGTACGCCTGACATGCGCTACACTATCAACAAAGATGACAAAGGGCGACCACTGACAAAGGCAGGTACGCCAGATAGAAGATTCAAAGTAACGAGAGATAAGGAGGCCACGGTGAAATCTTCTTTAAACAGTGGCAGTACACTAAGCACTGGCCCTGTCAAGAAAGATGGTACGCCTGACATGCGTTACACTGTTAACAAACACCCCAACAGCCTGCTGACTTCATCAAAAACAAGATCAGCGAGTGCTCAGGTGAATAGTTCCTCGCGTGTTGGTGGACCATTAAAGAAAGACGGAACTCCTGACATGAGATATGCAGTCAACAAACAGTCTTCCTCTCCCTCCCCTTCCAGCAGCTATGTATCATATAGAGGTTCAAGTGGCCCACTGAAGAGAGATGGAACTCCCGACATGAGGTATGCAGTCAACAAACAGTATACCTCTCCGTCTCACTCAAGCAGCTACAGAGGAAGTTCGTCACAGCTGTCATCATATAGCAGTCTGAGTAGGCCATGTAAGAGAGACGGAACTCCAGACATGAGGTATGCCGTTAACAAGGCGTTCAATGGCAGCAGTCCTGCATCCTCTGGCTATTCCTCTGGTGGGTCCATCTATAGTTCGAGATCATCTCTCAGTGGAAATGGAAGTGGGTCGAGTTCACGCGGTCCACTCAAACGCGATGGTACTCCAGACATGAGGTACGCAGTAAACAAGTCGTTTTATGGTAGTTCACAGTCGGTTGGATCTTCTTTTGGGGGATCAAGCTACAGTTCCAGGCCATCTTCCAGTGGAGGAGCCTCCCGATCCAGCTCCTGTGGTCCCTTAAAGAAGGATGGTACCCCAGATATGCGATATAAAGCTAACTGGCGGTAAAAAACTCCAAGTGCGAGAGGTATCAGACTATTTTTTTAGCCCAATATTTCCTTTGTCATTTCGTGATGATTCTATGATAAGTGGATTAAGATCTCATTGTTCTGGTTCTTCGTGTCAGGTCTCAGGCGGGCAGAAGGATCAAGAGATCTACTCCATAATTTCAGTGAAAACTTTTTAATTAGGTGCGAGTTGTTCGAAGCATGATGAACAGTAATCCATAACCAACATCTTTGGCAAAGAGTCCTCGAACATCATGGCTTTGTCGTCTATGCTCTCTTTAACTTTTTTTTTAAATAAATGGATTTTCTTTCCTGAACGCAAACGAAAAAAATCTGCATATCGATTTCTGCAATAAGCCTGAATGCAGCCTGCGATCATTAGCCAGCCATAACAGTGATGATTTAAATACAAAACCGCTTAACACTGAGACATAGCTAGTTACCTACACAGTTAGGTGAAGCCTGAAGTATGCGCCTTAATCTCGTCACGTTAACCACATACCACCCATATGATAGCTAGAGTAAGCGCCATTGTATATCAAGCTGGGTACTCTTGTGTGCAGAACAGGAATTCTTTTGATAGCTACACGTTCAATGCTAACAGTTATCTTATTGAACATCGGTTATCTTATCACTCATGTGCGTTGAAGTACTTGCGCTGCAAGTACTTTGTCGATAGAGCAGTTTGTAGAAAGGTGTTAGCCGGTAGCGAGGTTCTGAAAATGGAACACCAACTGACTCGTAAAGTTTTTCGCCTGAGTCACTTGATTTGTGTCAGAATCACGACAGACGATCATGCATCACGTCTCTTACACTAGGATCAGATGTAGGCACAGCACTGATGTTAACTGCAACATCTAATCTTGAATAACATTAAAGCAATGACAAAAATAGGTTTTCAAAGATTTAATCGAAGAGTGGTCCAAAGCGCGCGGAATGTTTAGTCATTGCTAACCATAATACATTATGTTGCGTCAATTTGTATTAACTTCCTGTGTATTGATGGTTGAAGTAGCGCCACAGTTTCCTTGCATGGATCGAGTAGTGGTCTTCTTTAAATGATCACTGGCTTTTTATTAGCGAAAGTGTCTTCGTTTTAACTCTTCGTGGTTGGGATGGACAATAAGCTGTCTATAGTTGAAAGATCAATCTTATTTTTATAGCTCATGATCATTCATTGAAGTAGCTTTCTCCATATTTTTGTCTCATAGCCCTTTGGGGAACAGTTTTATATACTTTGTTGCTACTTTTTTTGTAATTTAGCTTGTTCTTGTTAAGAAAGATATACTGCAACACTCATAACGCTAAACATAATATTTGTAAGCTAATAGTTTCATGTGTTGACGATTAAAAATTTGGTTTTTTTAAAGCTCAATTTAATCTAAATATATTTAATCTTTAATCTAAATCCATCTAGGATTCCTAAATCATAAACATGGAATCCCAGAATCAAACGAGACTGCAGTGGGAGGCTTTTGGCCAGTGCACTCTTAATCTGACTCTTTGACTTTCTTGTTGGATGGGGCTGTCCTCACGCAATTCCCTTTAATCATTCTCAAACCATGACCACAAACGGCAGAGCACCGGAACAAAAGCAAGAAGTTTGCTCGTTATGGGTATTGACCTTAGAATGCTTTTCTACTTTATGTCATGAAACCAAAACTAAAGTGATTTGTTCAGATTTCCAAGAAAGATTTGACTTACCACTTGTACCAATGAGATTTAGTTGATTCTAATTTGCGTTCGGTGGCCTAAGCAATATTCTGCAGTTTTCGCATCTTGCACAATTCTCTGAGACACTGGGAAATTTCTTGCGATTTCATTTTTTTTTGCAGCTCTTCCCCATTCGGTAGTTTAGACAACTTAACCACTATCGAATGGATGTACTCCGGACTTCCTGTTTTTCTCCTTTCCACACCATTCCTACACCGATCCCTACAACTTCGATTCACTTCCCGTACTTCTTTGTTTTTTTCAATCAGCTTATTATGAGATCAAGTTAACCATTCCACGCTTTCTGGGATTGATATCACTTCGGCTATCCCTGTAAACAGGTTATTCTACTGTCAAAATGTACTATGTCCCTTAAATAGAATGGTAGAGTTTATGTCTGGATCACTGAGTCTCACACCCTTCCTTAACGACTTACCCGACCTGACGAAAGTGTGACCCACTCAGCAGGACAGGGTTGTATTGCGCATTTAGCAAGTGTAAGTGGTTATAATTTTGGAACAATTTCAATTGAATATTTTTTAGTTTTTTTTGGGGGGGAAATTTTCAAATTAACAAGATCTCTGCTATACAAAAGAAGTCACACCTGCTGTTGGCCGACTTCTTAAGAAGGCGATCAGATGAGCGATCTTAAGAAATGAACTTACTGGATTCTCTCAGACCTTGCCATAGTTGGTAATAAAGCCGGGCCTCGATCCGATCCCCTCCGTACGTCTTTGGGGAGGAAATTTGTCACTTATCATCCACAGGGGCAATATGATTTATCGTATGCAATGTTTGTTAATCAAAACTGGACGGGGCTTTGAAGATCTAAACAGTCCGTTACGCTATCTCATTTTCATGCGGCTTTGATCGCCACTACTCATGAAAATCAACTTTTTA